CACTTTTATCTAACAGAACGAATACTCTTGTTTCTATTGATATATATCTCTTATGTGAATCCGGTGACAAATAGAAGTGACTCGTGCACGTCTAAAATTAGTTTATTTATTTTCACTTTCACATATATATAAACATTTCTAATGTGAAAAGAGGATTGATGACATGTGCATTTTGAGTATTCCATTACCCTCACTCTAACTAAAGTGATGGTTTCTTATATTTACTTTTTTTTTATATCGATGAACTATGAAGTTGAACTTGTCTCGAGCGATGTATAGACGAAAGAGTTCATCTTTTCTTTTCTGTAGTAAAAATAAAAAAATAACATCATCATTCAAGTATACGCTGGATGTCTTTACGAATATGGAAGTTTATCGAACGAAAAAAGTTATTGATGACTGCATGATTATATTGGATTTTTTCCTGCAATTGCAGATATCAAAAGCAAGAGAACTTCTATGACGGTTGCCTTTTTTTCTTTCATATTTATATGTACATATATTTCAGTGAGTAAAATCAATATGTAGGTAGAATATGTACAGAGATGGATACTGAAAAAAGGCAAGGTTAGTTTTTTTTCTTTCTTTTTGCTTGATTGCATCTCATCAAGATCATTTTCTCATTATCTGTCTTCCTGTATTGTAACGAATCGATTAATGACGGTAGAGAACAAATTGTCAAGAGATGGAAAAAAGATATTCTTGGTAATTCTAGGCTTAAAAAAGAGAAATTTCGCAACTCAATTGCTTGGTTGTTAGTTGATGATACATTGATGATGATGCAGCCGATCTGGTTACATCTCTAAATAAACACAATCGATAGGTTTCATATTTCAATCAGTTTATGCTAGTAGCCGAAAACGAAAACGTCTGTAGAGTTGAACCTAAAACGAAGTTCATACTGAGCAGTCTCTACTAAATGATCAAGATGAACTGAAAAAAAAATTTGACGATTATCCAGAAATCAGCAACAAACGTCATATGATAGACAATCCATCTATTTTGATTGATTTCTGAAGGAATAATGCGTCAACGTGGTATCGCCAACGAAAATTTCTATCAAGTCGAAGAATAGTGGTCAATATGGAATATCGATGTATGAAATGTATTATTATGTCTAAGCAAAGAACTCTAAATGCGAGATAATATAAGACACCATTAGATATATGTAGAACGTCATTTGTTAACATATGCGAAACTACCACAAACATTCATTATTGGATGAAGAATGATCGATCTTCTATTGAGAAAATCTTCATATATTATTCGAACTTTAAAGTATTGGAAATTGTCCTAGAGAATAATGTCATTCAGATAGTTAAGTATACCGGGTGTCGGTGTGGATGTTTGCAAAAAGAAGACTCACATCCACCCACACCTTTCGATTGAATCATGCATCATAACGGAAATTTCAATTTAGAACAGGTGTGCAGCACTTTGCAAAATGAATAGTTGGGTGTGGGTGTGGAGTTTAAAAGAAGACAACACCCACATCCTGTCAAGTTCTCTATAAGACCAAATCATTTTTCTAGTTCAAGGTTATCATGCAAAATCAAGATCTAGTTCTTGGTCTATAATAGCCAATTAAGATATTTATTGCCTTTACTTGTCTTTTTGTAGTGGAGAAAAACTTGACTTTTCATCGCTACGTCATTATCATTTTATGGATGGTTTATGACAACCAGTTTCAATGAAGAAAAGGTTACCGATCACAAAATAGGTCACTATATATCGAACTTTGTCAGAAATTGGTCATAAGATATGGCTAAAAAATGCACTATTTGCGAGCTCTTGAATATGTAAACATGGTGTTCAAAAGTGACTTACATTGAAAACTACTGTCCATTTTTTAGACGGATTTCTGTAGAAAGTAGGTTATATCCTTACCATTAGTTCTAAGAATCATTTGAGATAAAATACAACAAATTCAATCAAGATGAAAATTTATTTTAGAAAGATTTTTTTGCAAATTTAACATAAAAAAAACAATAGTATCAGTTTATTGTATTTCACGATTGCCTGTTAAAAAATCATCCACTTTGTGATCTTTTAATTGTGGTCTAGCTTCATACGTTGTAATGACTACTTTAGATTTGACTTCCTATACATGAAAAAAATCATACAGAATCATATTGAAATATAACATTCACTTACACCAAGATATTCACCACGAAGACCAATATAATAAATACGAGTTGTTTCACCACCGAAATTCGAAGGAAAATATAAAGATAAATGTGTTACACGTGAAAAATGTGATGGACTAAAATAGATATTTGATTAAAAATTTTTTCAAAAAATCAAGATATTTACTTGACTTGATAAGCTAATGTACCCGATGGATCATATGTAAGTGAAATTTCTTGATGAGCTTTTCCACGTGCATTATCAAAACGTAATTCAGGTAAATTACTCCATCTATTCATGTATATATATATAAATCATAACTCCTACTTTATTGAAATAATTTATCCACATACAGTTTAACTGTATTCGGATGTGATGTATCATTTTCACCAATAACACATAGGCCAGTTATTTTTAGAGCACCATTAAATGGTATACTGAAAAGTAATTCTTGTTCATCATCACTTTCAACTACCTTTAAAAAAAAACCTATCTATAATATTTTATTTGAATAAATCAAATACAAAATATACTTTTGATCGATCAAATCGTTCTTTCCATGCTCGAAATACATCTTTACCTGAACCATCATGTTTTTCATTATAACATTGTAAATTATATTTATCAATTTTTGTATATAAATTCCATTGACCAACATTTGTTTCATCAACATGTTGACATGTATGTGAACATGAATGTTGCATAATTTATCTGAATAGAATAAAGAAAAATAATTCCTTTCTTTTTATGATATTTTTTATGGAACGATTTATTTTATATCATCAAGAAAAGAAATTACATAATACACAGATGAACAAAACAACAACAACATTGTTTTATGTATGTCCTTTATGTTTTTTTTGATGAAGTAACATACTACTTTCATCTCGTCGTCGTTTAGTCATTGGATTTCTTGGATCATAAACAGTTAATAATTCAGCATTCGTATAAATATCTTGAACATTATCTAATAATTCTTGAGATAGAAAAGTATGTTTTAAAAATGGTGTTTGAACTTTATCAGCTATTTGTTCTGATTGTGTTTCATTTAAAGGTTCATTAATTTGTTCATCTTTAGCAGTATGAACTTTTACACGAAATCTTTCTAATAAATCAAGTGTCTAAAAATTAAATTTGAATATTTTATTCAGTACAAAACTAACTGATGAACAAGCTTGAGATTCTCTTGAATTTGAATGACTACTATGATTTTTTTTATTGTTTCGTCTTGTACCTGCCATTAATTCATCCATTAATGTAGTAGTACTTGAAGTAACTGGTTGAATAGATGAGGGTGCAGCTAAATTTGAAATAAACTCATAAAATATGATTGTCAGTTAAAAATAGGATGAATATCCTCATGCATTCTTGAAATATGAAATAGATCTTGGTAAGACCGAAAAAAAGTTCAATACTTTCGAATGGATTTATCCATTCAAACTGGAATTCTTAGGATATACTAAATATCATTAAACAATACTTACGTTCTGTTTCTACTTGAACGACAATTTCTGATGATTTGGGTATGGATGCTGATGATGACTTTTTTGTTTGTTTTAATTCTTTTTTTAATCGTTCAATTTCAAGTTTAACATTTTCATTTCTATCAAAAAAAGAAGAGAATACTAAATCAATCAAAATATTTTTGTTGTATTTTAAATTTACGATTTTGTTGTTGAAATATCTTTTTGATTATCATCATCATCATCAATATCAAGTTGAAGTGTTTTTTTCTTTTCTTGCTGAGCTAATTTTTTTGCGTTAAATTTTTGTCGTACTCGATCAAGTTCTTCTTTATCAAAATCTGC